TCAGGACGGCGAATTCAGCCTCGAAGACCTTGTCACCCAAAGTGACACTAACAACACACACACCGATCGGGCACAATGTCTCCCCGCTCACTGCACGAAATGATGCACAACTGTCCCAGCGAAACATCACTCTATGCCCTAGCCGCAATTTGAAGTTAAGACTGATTACTGAAACAGCTGCTCCAGTATCTATCAAAGCCATCGTAGGAAGTCCATCAATAAGCACGGGGACCCTATTTTGAGTCATAAAAACGGGTGGCGGCATAGGCGGATGTAGTGACAAATGTTCGGCGACCTCACCTCCATTGGCCGCACCACCTAGTTTCCCGGAGGCGGGGAGGTGACGCGTCGACCAGGAGATGGGGAACGGAACCGGCGTGTTGTGGGGGGCGTCAAGCTTCGCACGGAGGAAGGCGAGTCGTTGCGTAAATTCCGGTGGAAATTGCGTCCTACATGCGTATCACTGTGGGTCGTTTGCTGGAAACCGTCCCCATCGTACACGTCCCGCATGGAACGCATACCACCGCGCCAGCGGTTTTGTCGAGAGGAAGGTGATGGTCCCTCGTAGTAGCGTTGCTGGGGGTGACGCCTTTGACCACAGAATCGAGCCACATGTCCACGGAAACCGCAGTTATAGCACACAGGGGCCTCACGCACGTCGCGAAACCTTCCACGAGGGGCCATGTGCCCATGATCGTCCCACGAAGACACCATTGTAGGTGGTTGGCCGGAGGCGTTCTGGAAACCACGGCGATGATGTAAGTTGTCGGTTGGGGGCTCTGGTGCTCTTGATTGGGGCACATCATATAGCGTAGCATCAACGGCAGCACACATTGCGTCGTATGGCGGGGAGGTGTTGATAGCAGGTGCTCTCGGCGGGTTGACAGCATCACGTCGTCCAAGTTCTTCGCGTACGATTTGCCTGATCATTGAGGCAAGATCACAGGGGGATGTTGGAGGGACGTCGACACTTGCGACGGTGGTGACGTTGGCAAGTCTACCGAATTTGGGAGTGATGCGCCTAGCCTTCAGTGTCTCAAACGTGCGGCAGTGTTGTATTACGTCCGCTACAGACGCCAAGGTGTCCTTGCCGATGAGGAAATTGTAGACATCCTCAGCAACCCCTTTGAGAAGATGCCCTACCTTGACGTCTTCTTTCATGCGTGGGTCTACAGACTTGCACAATTTCAAAATCTCTTCAATGTACGTTGTGCATGTTTCACCGGGGACTTGAGCACGCTGCATCAAAGTTTGCTCAGCGCGCTTCTTCTTCATCAATGGGTCCCCGAAGCAGCTCGCTATTTCTTTCTCAAACGCTTCCCAGGTCATTATTGTTTCTTCGTGGTTTTCAAACCACACCAACGCCGTCCCTTGAAGAAACAATCCGACGTTGGACAACCGGGAGGCCGCATCCCAACAGTTGTATTTACTCACACGGTTGAAGTGTTTCAGCCATTCGTCAACGTCTTCTCCGACCCTCCCTGAGAAGCTCCGTGGTACCATGTGCCGGGGCCACGCAGCGCCAGACGAAGAGTGCGTGGTGTCGCCGTCAGCAATCGGATCCATAGAGAGCGGTGGTAGACCAGCCAGTCGGCGGCTTCAGCGTAGTTCTTGAGGTAGCGCTTCCGTGATCGTTGGACTTGGATCGCTCCGCTGTACCCCGCACCTTCCACTAATCTTGTTACGGTGCGATGGATGCCTTTATTTACAGGAGATGATCAATGCGAGAGTCCAGGGATCTGGCCGATCACTGCTCGTGCCAACCTCGTTCTCCTCTTCTTCCACGTGCATCCTCAGTATCGTAGCAATATTATACTAAAGCTGACACGTGCTATTTACCCTACCGTACCCCCTTAACAGTTTGAGTTTCTGGTACATGTACAATGTCTTCTTTCTGCAAATGATTTTAGATACAGATGTACCCGTTGGGCACTGGTATTGCCGGAAGATTTACTTGAGTGACAGATATGCCTTCTCTACCTAAAGAAAAAAAGGCTGTATATTTAGCGCAGTTATTACTTGAAACCGCAAGCAATAATAAAGGTGACAAAAATGTGTCCCGAAGTGGAGAATGATAATGATAAAAATGGAGAACTGGCAATACATGTAACGAATGCGAGAGAGAGAAAATCAAAGAAAATATTTATTGAATTAAGATAGTGAGTGAAGATGAGGGGGTTTCTTACTCACGGAACCCTCTGTCATGCACAGCCCGCTGGGCTCGAGTGATGACTTGACGCAGCTAGACGAGGTCTATCTGGGAGATCGCAGCCACCCGCGCTTCACTGAGGAGGTCTTCGTCCGCCTTTGATGCTGCTGCCTGTAGCCTTGGGACGCTTACTTTGCCCTGCAGTAGGAGGTGCGCCAGAGTGTTAGCCACATTGCAGTGGGGACAGATGTAGCTGTGCAATGTTGGCCTCATATGGGGCGATAGTACGCCGTGGGCGAACCTGTTGCTTTGAAAGCGCCTGTAGTTAGTTCCTTCATCACTTGTGGGTTTTGGATGTGGTGGAAGATGTGACCTGCCTTCGACCAGATAATGTTGCAGTAATGCATGATACGTTTGTTGTATGGGTTTTCTTGTCTCTGCTTCTGTTGAGTGGGAGGTGCCTCGGACCTCGTTAGGGAATGGCTGGTTGACGCATTCGCAGGCAGCGGTGTGTGCCGCTTCATTTCTCAGGAGACCTTCGTGACCCATAATTCACACGATACTTGAGTACGAAGGATGATTGTCCATGCGCTTTAGTAGCCCAATCGACACCGTGGAGACCCTGCCTTTCAGGTAGGTTCATGCCGCTGTTTGGGAGTCGGTAAAGACCACGATTGGATCCTCACTCGTCTGTGTGGCGAGTGCTATAGCTGCCTTTTCAGCTGTTTCCGCACGTTTGGCAAGGAGAGTCCCCAATGCCAGTACCGCGCCCTCGTAATCTGTGACAGTAATCGCGAAGGTGTTACATCCTAGATATTTGGTTGCATCCGCTTATTGCGCCTGCGGGTCATCGCCATAGTTTTTCTGGATAATGTTAACCCTGACGAGCCGCCTTATTCGGTGATATTGAGAATACATATTCCGAGAAATCTGCTGAATTTCAAGGCGTTCTCGGAGTTGTGACGGTATTTTGCCATTGCGTTCCTCTTTGGGCTCTAAGGTGGTCTTATACTCTGTGCGTAGAAGGACGGCTTGCCCTGTGGGTGTCAGCTTGAGTCTTTCGACCTGGTTGATGAGGTGTGCTTCACTGAGTTCTTCCCACGTATTGTAAACTCTCATGCGAAGCAATCGGTCAATGGAGGTGGCTGGCGGCAGTCCTAGGGCAAGCTTTGTAGCCTTTTGTGTCAGCGGATTATGTACTCTTTGTTCAATTGCACAAATGCTGATGGCAGACGAGAAATATGCTAACTCAGGTTCATGCATTTTTTAAGCAGATAATGACACGCTGAAGATCATAAAATAGTCAGTACCGACACGTATCTTCGCCTCACCTGATCACATCCATCGTGATTGTTGTATGAGAACAGCGGAAAAGGAGATCAATACCCACTCGAGGCTATTCTTCGAGGAAACATTGCTCCTAATGCAAGGACGTTTATTAGGCCAAGTCCGGCGCCACTGGCATCCGTGAGAACCTTCGTCGGAGCGGCAGCATCAAATTGGTAGGCGTTATCAGCCAAACTTAGAAGGTGGTACAAAAGATGTACACATGTGAGAAACCGACCACAGATAGGCGTCACTTAAAACTGATTTATTAGAAAGGATGAAATGAAATATAAAAAAATGTTGCACTGACGCAGCGAGAATATTTCACGCCTGCTACGGCACCACTTCACCAGGATATGTCATCATTGATGGGACATCTAAATCTTTCACCTTGATAAGTGATAATGACCACTACCACAAAATTTAAGATCTACTTGACGCAACCAACCAAATGTTCTTAAAAATGATTATAAAAAATCACCCCCCCCCCAAAAAAAGCACTCCTAGGATGCTTGACGAATTGACTTTTGTCTTTTGCAATGATGGCATTAGAACGAAGACAGTACCATTGGGATCTCGCCAGGAATGTTTCCTTCTCATATGCCACGTGCACCTTGTACCTTTTCGCCTGATCAATTGCAAGCGTAACTGTGAATGTATTTTAAGTCATCACCTTACTACATTACGCTGCAAAAAACATCTGAAAATACCCTACAAGTAGGGCAGTTACCCTACTGTTGGCAACCCTGTACCAATGATGGCTTGATCATGGTTGTTCGAAGGTAGGGACACTGTGGCCGTCAGTGGGCCTGTTACGTCACTGGCCCTTCATAGTTGTTAACTTGTCGGGTATAGTCGGCCTTGAAGGAGGGATCCTTCTCGTCTGCAAGTAAACCGACCATATGACAGGGCTTTGGTGCCGTGTTCTGCCGACTGCGCGCGTGGTTTAAGAATTGTTGGGGGCGCCCGTAACGTGATGGAACCACAACTTCCATTTGATATCTCAAGGCAGTGACGAATAAGATGTGTGCCTGTTACACGGTTGCGAATAGAGTAACTAGGAGTACAAGCTACGCATGCTGCACGCTGAGGGCGACCGTCATAGTTGCGTGTTTTCCGTAAAATAACCGCGAAGGGAACACGATATCTTCCTAGGTTAAGAGTCGAAAATTTCTGCATTGCTATGGCTCACGTTAGCTCCACAATTCATTAGGCTATTCGTGTAATGTGCGAAATCTAGAAGTTCTCTACACGTTTCGTTGTGGGCTGCGCCATTATGTGGTTAAAGTTTCCTTCGTGAATCCTGACAACGTAGTCGTGAAAAAGTATGTCCACGTGGCAAAATAATTGCCAGTGTTATGACGTGGCAGCGCCCTGTGGAAGACCACGTTTATTTCTGCAAATAGAAGGAAGGAGTGAAACGCAGACAACGCCGCAACAGTCTGCGATGAGGTTACAAACGCTTGTATATGTGCAATAGCTTTTCGGATAGAAATAACGTGTTGAAAATACTTCATGCACTTACAAATGTCCAAGTTCGTGAACTGTAGAGTGCTGACCAGTGTACCATCCAGCCGTGTCTTTTACCACTGCGACACTGTAGTCGTTGCACATACCCTCCAGAGGTGCGATTCCTAATTGGATAGCAGGCGGTGAGAATATGAACTTTATGATTTTGTAGGAGAAAGGACAAGGAGGCATTTTTAATGGTCATTGAAAAAAAGTAATTCATACTTAAACATTCATAGTGCAAACTAAGGGGACACAAAAAGAGAAGCCAAACGAGCGCAGTCTCTTAAGTTCGCGTCTGCTGTTTGTTTTTGCTCCTAATATTTCTGTGAGAAACTATACCAACTAGGCCACCATGCAACCTTTTGAAAGAAAAGGGTATGGCGAGCAACATTCGGAATAGTTGCACTTGTGGCAGAAATGGCATTAGCTAAGCACGACATCACACAAGTAGACACAATCATTTCTAGTTTTTGTGAAACAGCAGTTTAAAGTCGGTGTGGGTTCCATAGGTTATTTAAATTTTCGCTGAAGTAACAAGCACTGAAGATTTCAAAAAGTCCATAAGTTGAATAAGCTATACATTCAAAGCGTCATGTAGCAAAAATAAGGTGAGCGCTGACAAAATTTTTGATATAACCAATCAAACATTGGGCTCCTTCCAGCAGCAGTTAGTAATCAGTAATTCATCAAATATTCTCATACACGTGTCCTCAAAATATTCTGCTTCTCCGGTACAATTATAAATGAAGAAACTTGTCGAAGGACTACTTGGTCATACTTCACAAAAAAGAACTGAAGACACCGATGAAGGACACCTTGAACTCCTGTCTTCAATTTTTTTTTTGGAAATTGCGCGCAAAACGTTCACCAAAATGCAATTAGGTTAGATACATAGCAACGACGCCAGTACAAGTTGCGTTGTCAACAAGCTACTATACAAGCTACGTACTAGATGATAGCAGACAGCTGTTTTTGGTTATTATATAGGCGTCCTGGAGGGTCACATGTCTACATTTTTCTGTTCTTTTTTGAGCACGTGCGGCGCCATCATTAAAAAATATTACGCTTCGCCATTGCGCCAAGGAGAAGCCTAACGGTTTTGGTACGTTGAAGCCCAATTGGGGCAGCACTTCTGCAAAGAGAACGTAGAACCTGAATAATCATAATCAGGAAGACAAACACAGCTGAGATTATTAATCGGCTGAAAAAAGAGTAACGTGTAAATAGCCATTGTCACCACCTAATATGTCGCACATGGCAATGCATTTTGTATAAACATAGCATTACTACACGGTTGCGAAAAAAATACGCTCGAGAAGCACGCCTTTTACAAGGAAAGCATTTATAGGATCAGAACATGGGTAACGTGGGGCTCCGTAGTTTTCCGCCGCCACCGCCGGTGTCCGTAACCAGTGTCGCAAGAAGTAAAAAAAAACTCAATAAATGAAAAACACTAAGGACACAATGGGATTCAAATCCATTTCCGCTGCGTGCCAGCCCGGTATTCTACCGCTGAGCCAAGCGATTACCTGGAACTCGGTTCTAAACTGGCTTCAGGCAAGCTTGATGTCGGGAAAGGAATTGCGTTAATACGAGTAACTAAGTGTTTGAGAACATCAACGGAACAACCAGTCATCAAACAGTGTGAACTGCGTGATGAGTAGGTCGTGCAATGCTCCAACGCATCAGATGCTGATTGTTATGCTGATGACCTCAGATGAATGGCGCTCACCCACAGAGGGGGATATGCCAAAAACCGGGTGGCAGGATACTTAAATTAAACTAAAATGAAATTAAAACCAATCTGAAAAATTAGTTTAGAGACAATGCTACCAATAAACTAACATGTTTGCTGAGCACGCAGTCAAACCATCTCTTGTTTTTGACAGAAGTCACTACGAATTATAAACTAAAGATCTGAAAAGGTTAGGGTTCACTAGCACGGTAATATTTTAGTTGCATATATGTAATCCAACACAGTGGACCATATATTCCTGTGGCAGTGACTGAGTGAAGTGCCGTGAAGTAATAAAAGTACTGTTAGATTTACTTGTATTCCTGATTGATTTGTGAGGTTTAACGTCCCAAAACCACCATATGATTATGAGAGACGCCGTAGTGGAGGGCTCCGGAAATTTTGACCACTTGGGGTTCTTTAACGTGCACCCAAATCTGAGCACATGGGCCTCGATATTTCCGCCTCCATCGGAAATGCAGCCGCCGCAGCCGGGATTCGAACCCGCGACCTGCGGGTCAGCAGCCGGGTACTTGTATTCAGTAGAAGCAGTCAAGAAAAGGTCTTATAAGTATTTTTTTGATCTTAGCGTGCGGAATCTCGCAATTGTAATGTATACTGTCAGTAGGAAAAGCGGAATGATTGGCACCAAAATCATCACCTTTGATAAAGATTCAGCACTTTCGTTTAAAAATGAACTGTTGTGTCTAAATTCAGTGCCCACAAGAAAGGGGCGTGGAAACTAGTATTCTGAGAAGCTTTAGTACAGGCATTTTACCAGCTGCGGAGAGAGAACACACAGATAATAAGTCAGTGATAATTGCTACTACTGTAATTGAACTGGTTAACATTTAGAGAGCTAATATTATGGCCGTAAATTCACCCATAAACTAGGATAAAATCAGGCAGTCATAAAAAAGGGCCACTCAAGTTCAGGGCAGAATGCTCTTATGCCAGCTTTACCCTCAGCTTGCGGGGCATGCATTAAAATAACCATATTATTGGGCATAATAATTAGATGGTCTTGTAACCATCGATTTCAAATTTCGTGAGGTGAAAGTTCGGTATATCCCACGCACCTGGGAATCGACTTTATGCGAAGCAGGTCGATGGAAGGTGACTGTGTCGCATTTTTTTTATTAAGCAACACGTCATAAATGGACGCACGCACACACATACGTTGAAGCGTTGCAAACGTTTCTATAATCAGTTGTTTGAACTTGCGCAAGCATGCGAACTGGAACATGCGTATTAGCCACACCAGTCTGATTTGAAGTGCTGATTTCGCAAAGATGCTGGCCCTGAACACTGCTAGACAACTTAGAAGTGTGGCAGCTTGGGCTAGTTGGTATGACATGACGATAGTTCTATAGCGCGAGAACAAAATGAGGACACAGAGACAAGCTCACAGAGACAGGCTCGTGTCTTTTGTGTCTTTCTTGTCTCTGTGTTATCGTTTTGTTCTCGCGCTATAACTATCGACTGCTAGCTAAATCAAATTCAGCGCATGGCACCTAACCTCATGTGACGTTAACCCGGCGTGACGGCTGTACCAAAGAATCACATGTGTGATGGTTTGATGGTTTATAAAATTCTGTAGCCAGAACCACAACCACTATGGACATTTCACGAAGATCAGTGTCGCATTGAAAGGTATGTCTGAGACTTGGCGTTGTTCTGTGGTAGAATGCTTGACTTCCACGCTGAATGCTTGGGTTTGATTCGTGCTGAGACCCCAAAAGTTAATGTTTGCATTCGTGGGGGTCAATGCACCACATGTAAGGTTTTTCTTAATACTGACATTTATTCTAAGCTTTAGTTGTATTGACACTAACGATGTTGGGTGTTCCTTAACTTTCACGCGTTCAAATTTCCAACCTGTGTTCTCGTTGTTCCTGGTTAGATACTAAGTGTCAATCACTTGTGGCACATACCCACGCACCAGCGGTACATACCTGCCTGCGGGTTATGGGACACGGTCTGGCGGTAAGTGTCTGACGACGTACGCGTTGGGATTGTGACATTTTTTATGCACTGACCAGCCCGTCCTATTCGTCAAACTATCTTAACCTCCCATGTTAATTTGGCTCACGCCAAGTTGAGGCGGTGACCACGAGAGCCCCCAAACGTAAACGGCTACATAAATAGATGCGCTCAAAATCACCGTAATCCGCTAAGAAATGCTTCACGTTAATAATTTTCGCACAGTTCAGAAAAATATGGTGGTAGGAAATGTCTATGAATTTAGGTTGCATCGTCAAAAGACGCACATGAAGAACTTGTATATTTAGGGAGTCTAGTAATGTTTGTGCAAACATGATTGCTGGTTTGCAGAATCTAGGCCAGTGCTCGGAGAAAATCAAATTTGGTATAGAGTCGACCTATTAACTGTGGCGCGTATCCACTTCAGGCGTCATTCTTCATCATCTTCAGCCTCTGCATAAGAAATTGCACATAATTTCTAGCAAGTGTAGCGCGAGCATCGCGAATATTGGACTACTACAGAAAAAAGTCACAGCATGTGAAAAGGCGAGGCAATGAATGCGATAGCAACAAATTCAAAGGTCACGTGCAAAATGCAAAGCAGATCGATATGCTCCCCGTGTTTCTCACGCACAAATGACGCACGAAACGTACTCACAGGTACGGATGCATGCAAATAAGCATCTCATTTGTTACTTATCCTTGTTTGAAAAGCGCGTGATTTTTGCAAGCGGAGACTGCAATGATTGCAGTGACCTTTGCGTGCCCAATAACTACTGCAGAATTATTCCAGGTAAAGCCCGAGGCCAGCCCAGACGTACGACCCTCCCCTCCTCGACACCGCCAGATAAAGCTGAGCAAGGAACGCGTAGGATTAGAGCGAGCGCCGCGGCATGATGTGGCAACGCGCGTTCATTCCGCAAACTAGCTGGTAATACTGAAAACATCATTCCCTCTGAGATGCTCGTGAGCAGTGGTAAATGGTAGGTATAAATTGCTTGCCGTTTGGATGATGAAGGACGTGCACCAGGGAAAGAACGCAGAGGTCCAACGTTCGATTCTGCGCCCTGGAATGCTTTTGCTGATTTTTTCTTTCTTGTATTTTGATATATATATAGATGCGTATGCATATACGGTGAGTGACGGTGACGCCAACGTCAACGCCGACGTCGACGCCCATGCCAAAATACAGCCGTGAGTGTTCATATAATTGCTATCGCAATACAATTACGATTATTTATTCCATACTGAGTACGCAGCGAGTGCCCTTGTAGCAGCTACCTAAAGGGTGTTTAGAAAATGCTGAAAAAAGACACTGTTACAGCTTTCACTGTAACTGTGCTGCGCATTCAGGATGCCAGGTGTTTTTTTTAGTTGTTCGTTTATCACCACGCTATTT